GATCCACATCCCTAGCCTTTATTTTTATTTATATGTATGCATATGAGTCTGTCTATGTGTATGAATGTGTATGTGTGTGCCCACGGGGGCCAGGAGACATCATAAGATCTCCTGAAGCTAGGGTTCCAGGTGGTTGTGAGCTGCCTGATGTGGGTTCTGGGAGCTGAACTCAGGTCCTCTATAAGAGCAAGAGTTCTTATTACTGTGTGGATGATCTGTATGTCAATGTGTTGCTCTGACTGATCAATAAATAAAACACTGATTGGCCAGTGGCCAGGCAGGAAGTATAAGCGGGACTAACAGAGAGAACAGGAAGGCAGAAGGAGAGACTGCCAGCTGCCGCCATGACAAGCAGCATGTAAAGATGCCGGTAAGCCACCAGCCATGTGGCAAGGTATAGATTTATGGAAATGGATTAATTTAAGCTATAAGAACAGTTAGCAAGAAGCTTGCCACGGCCATACAGTTTGTAAGCAATATAAGTCTCTGTGTTTACTTGGTTGGGTCTGAGCGGCTGTGGGACTGGCGAGTGACAGAGATTTGTCCTGACTGTGGGCAAGGCAGGAAAACTCTAGCTACATAGAACGATCATCTTTCCAGCCTCAGGGCCTTGTTTTTAGGTCATACACACTGAAGTATTACTGAGTAATAGGAAGTCTTTTCTGAGATTTGAGAGTTAAATGACTTTAAAAACGTATGTGCATATACATGTAGATGTGTGTAAAATAAAGGCAGAAGAGGTCAACGAACGAGAAGCCGGGTGAAGGAAGACAGTTCTGCAGGCTATTTCTTCTAACTCTTCTGTAAGTACAAGTTATTTCAAAAGAAAAAAGAACTAGTTACAGAAGGGTTGTAGGTGTGACAGAGTCAAGGAGGGAGTGGGAACGTGAGCATAAGTTATGTAGAAACTCACCAGAGTAAGCAGAATTGAGTCACAGGCCCTTCCTGACAAGGAAGACCACAGGGTAGAGGGAAGACAGTGCTGATGTGGAAATCCCTACCACAAGTTGGTCAGGACGTCACCGCAGCTCCTGAGCAGAAGCTACAACACCTCTTAGGGTGGACACAGAAATGGCGAAATCCTTCATGAATGTAAGGACAGCTTAGCCCAGCTTGTCACACAGCTGGCTTTCAGGGACTTGCTTCTTGCCACCTTCCTAGAGACTGGCTTGTGGACCTCCTTCTGCTGCTTGGCTATTTGTCTGGCAGGCACTGCCAGAATGTCCCTGGACAGGCAGACTGCTGAGGAGATGAGAGCACAGACCCCATTCCTGACCCCATATGAGCCTGCAACACTGATGAGGCCACCTTCCCACAAGGCATCCTGAAGAGGACCCCAGAGGGAGCAGGACAGGCCGGGTCCCTGAGCGTCTCTCACCACTGTGTTTCACTCCCATCAAAGCCTATGGGATGGGCTGACGAGCCTTGCTGCAAACAGGACAAGACAGGATGGAAGGGGTTAGCAGCATGCGGGAGGCCCCAGGCTGGTGAGTGCAGAGCTCTGACTGGAAGCCAGGTCCTTCTGACATCCAGACTCCTGCTCCCTGCTCTGTTGGGCTCTGTCACCTGAGAGCTTGTGAAAGGTCTGTAACTCTCCTCCCTTGCAGACTGGAGTCTGGGGTAAGGTGAGAGTAGTGACTGTACACACCAGTCTAATCTGAGCGCTCTCTCTCTCTCTCTCTCTCTCTCTCTCTCTCTCTCTCTCTCACTTCAGGATCCTCTGACCAAAGGGAAAAATGAATCCTAAAGTCCCTTGAAATCATATTCAAAATTACTATGTATGTATAACTAATTTTTTTTTACAAGAAGTCTATCTATGGCTTACTATTTATTTGTTTGTTTACTTATTTATGATACTGGGGATTGAACTAGAACCTTGTACATGTTAGGCAGGTACTCCAGCACTAAGCTATATCCCTGCCTCTTTTTTTTTTTTTTTTTTCAAGACAGGGTTTCTCTGTGTAGCTTTGGTGCCTGTCCTGGAACTCACTCTGTAGACCAGGCTGGCCTCGAACTCACAGAGATCCACCTGGCTCCGTCTCCCGAGTGCTGAGATTAAAAGCGTGTGCCACCACCACCTAGCCACATTGTATTTTTGAGGCAAGGTCTCACTAAGTTGCCCAGGCTGGACATGAACTCATTCTGTAACCTAGGCAGGCCTTGAATTTGCCATCTCTCTGTCCTCTGAGTAGCTGGGATTACAGGGCCCATGCCTCCAGGATTTTTAAAGGATCTACGACTTGTCAGAGGTTAAGACATGATGCCTGAGTGCTCGGACAGGAAAGGAGATGGAGTTCGTCGTCTCTCTTCTGCTTCAGGCCCCGCTCTGTGTTACTGTGTGACTGCAGTACAGTCCTGCAGCCCTTCCCCCACAGATGCCCACCCCCCCCCCCCCCGGGGGGGGGGGCTTGAAAACATTCTAGGAGGGCAATGCCAGCCAAAAGGCCAGTGTCGCATCTTCCATAGACTGAGAACCCTAAGGAAGGAGGCCTGGCTCTTTGCCAAAGCATCATGAGCAACACGCAGATTTTGATGAGTCGGGTCCATGCAAAAGTAGACAACAGAACTGTAAGCGAGAAAAGAGGCTCTGGACCAGGAAGGTCTGGGCCAGATAGCTTTTGGGCCCTTTTGAAAAGAGACTTCTAGGACTATGGGTTGATGGCTAGGGAGACGCTCAGTTGAATCCACATTAAACAAACCCAGGTGTGGCGGCACACATGCACAATCCCAGCACTGGAGAGGTGAGACCAGAGGATCCTCGGGGCCCACTGTCAAATCAGCCTAGTCTATTCATTGAGTGCCAGGCCGTGTGAGAGACCTTGCCTCAAAAAATAAGGTGACATCTCCTGAGAAATGACACCAAGACACACACACACACACACACACACACACACACACACACACACACACACACATACCCCAGGATAGGGGGAGTGGTGCTGGGGTGCTTTCAAAGAACAGAGTAGCAATGGTAACTAGTGCCCTCTGTGAGCCTGGTGGACACACCCCAAGGTCAGGGAGGGAAGCCCAGCCTTCTCAAAACAGCTTTATTTTCCCGGTGTGAGGTGAGTTACTCTTGTTAACATGGAAGGTCTTTCACAAAGTTTATATTCTGGATAAAAGAAAAGGTAAGGGGGTTGGGCCTGCAAGATCAAGCAGATGGACATGATGTCCCCTGTAGTGATCTGCTCAAAACATTCTTCTCTTCTTCCTGCTCATCCTGAAGCAGGCTTGGAGACAAGGAGTTGCTCACCCAGGACAGAAGCATTAGAAAGGAAAAAGGAAAAGAAAGACAAAGGAGAATAAAGGCAAAGTGTTCTCTGTGTTCCCCAGAGAAGGACCACAAGGGCTTCCTCACAGCTGTAGCCAGTTTTCCTGTGTGTGTTCTCCTGTCTGAGCTGCAGTCTGTCTTCCCATGTGTGTCCTTGGAGACCTTGTAACCTGGTCCAGCCTGTGTCCTCAACTTTCCCAAACCCTGCTGTCCAGTGACTTTAATAGTGAGTGACTCTGGCCATATGCAAAGATGAGGAGGGGCCTCCCTCCTTTGTGAATAGCTTCCTGTGAACAAGGTACCCTAGACCATCAACATCCACTTCTGGCCTTGAGGAAACTGGGCTCGGAGGGGCCTGGCTTGTAAAAATGTCTGTAAGTCTGTGAAAAAGCATGTGTGTTACATGAATAATTCCAAGTCCATAACTGACACAAACAAATGTGGAAGAAGGTAGAACTTCCCTACAGTAGAATTCCAATTAGAAAGTGGAGAAGAAATGATGGGAACAGAAGGTCAACCTTAGGCAGTGAGAACTGCAGGCAAGAATCATCAAACCCTGCTAACATGAGCCAACTCGACAACAAGAAACAGGATGCTCCCAGTCTCAAACCATTCCCTGCAAGACACTTAAAGAAAGAAAACTGTAACTTGACGCAGGCTTCACCGTGGCCAATCAAGTCAACATCAGCAGCTGACTGACCCCGAGAAGGATGCAGCACCACTGATTTTGTCGTGTGGGCACATGATCTCACATATGCAGCTCAGGCTGGCTCCAAACTGGAAGCTGTCCTGCCCCCACCTCCTACGTGATGGATTATAGTGTGTGTTATCTGTCAGCTCATGACTTAAGAAAGACAATACATTAATAGATATGGTGTGTGTAGTTCCAGCAGTCAGAGAGCTGAGGCGGGAGGATCACTTGACCCCAGGAGTTTGAGAGCAGCCTGGGCGACATAGAAACTGTTTCAAAAGAGGGGGTGTGGCAGGGGCACAGCACCCAGCAAATGGAAACTGACAGCATCTCACAAGCATCTGAAACATTTGGTCAACGCTCTAACAACGTCAAGGTGAGAAAGACGAAGAAAACCGAGGAAGCCAGGCTGAAAGGAGGCTCCAGAGACCACAGGTAATTTCATGATTATTAGGTCCTGGACCAGAAAAAGGATCAATCTTACTTTCTGATTTAGCTAATTGTGTTTACATTAAGATATTTCCAGGCCTGCGGAAGGCTAGTGGAGAATTTTTGTGCTGTTTTAAAGCTTTTTTGACAGTCAAAATTACCTCACAATGAAAAGCCAAATTATAATTGAAAGCATATACTTCAGGAACTAGGCTTTCTTAGGATGTCTGGGTGCCCGACACTTTGTGGGGTGATGTGCAGTCAGCCCTCAAAAGCTTAGCATCCACATCGGGGTGGGAGGTGTTCAGAGCCACATGGAGGCTTATAAAGCCAAGCTCAGGCAGCTTAAGTTTATGAGGAAAATATGCCAGTGTAGTGGCACATACCTTTAGTCTCAGCAGCCGGGAGGCAGAGGCAGGCAGATCTCTGGGAGTTAGCCAAAGCTACATATCCTGTCTCGAATGAACAAATTATAGGCAAAATAACCAGTCACATGCAGAATATATAATGATATCCTTAATGAGCTCTAGAAGGAGTTGTCCTTTTGTAGGACCCAACAATCAGAGGCTAGAAACACAGGCAGAAAACAGCAGAACGCTTGTCACTCACTTGTCCTGGGACTCAATGTACACGTAGAGATGAGGCTCAAAACACTTGGAAACAATGCCATGAAATGGATTGTCTGGGGCCTTGGGCTTCTTTGGCTGGAAAGAGAGGAGGGGAAAATATGAATGAACATGAACCCCATGTTTGAGAACTTCTGCAAGTTTTTAAGTGATTTCAAAGAAAACATCCAAGTTCACTCTTAGCTCACAGACAAAGGAGTGGACACAGGGCTGCGTCACACCAGGATCATCCAGTGAGCCACCACCAGCTCTCGTCAGCATCTCTGACTTGCTGTGTGTGTGCTGGGAGATTTACTGCTACGCCGCCATTGCATGCATCTTTTATTTGGAAGCTCATCATCAGCGGATGTCTTCAAACGTTAAATCCGGGCTGGATTTCAACAACACTTTGTATTGGTAGTCTCTGCTCCTTGTTATCATAATCCTGATGCGAGGCACCTTCTCATCCTTCCTTCCCGGCAGTCTCACCGCTCCTACTACACAGCTCCTCCACAGCAGTCCCAAGGCTCGCGCGTGGTCAGACTTGCTACCTCTTGTAGAGCTCCCCAGACTGTGGACTATCATTAACAAATCATGTGAGAAAAGAGAGGAGCAGGGGGCCAACACAGGGGTTACCACCTTGCTCTCTACTTTCAAGCCTTACCATTTACAGTGCTTTGGCATGAGGGCATCTTGTCTAAGAAAGCATGGCTGGTAAACTTATGGTAGGGAGACTGATGAACACTAGTAAACAGGTTACTTGGCAACAATTGTTTAAAAATTATATTTTCTTCCTAATTCATTTCCAAGTATCTAGAAAATAAGAATCTCCCTGTTACTTTCTACTCCTTAAAAAAGTTAATCTGTCTACTGCCAAATGTCAGCAAAAGGACTCTGAGCCAAAGATATAGAGCTCAAGCTTAACATAAGCCATGCTTGCAAGACACTTGCTGATTAGAACTCTTGTACCCTTTTCTTCCTCTTTTTGTAGCTCTGGAGCTCACTCTGAGGTCTTGCACACTAGCAAGCACTCTCCCAACACGCTCCATTAACTAGCTTAACGAGGAACAACTACTGCATGCGAGCGAGCGAGCGAGCGGAAGCTGGGCATCCTGCTGAACTCCTGCTAACTCAGCACTTCAGAGCAACAGGAGCTGAAGTCTGAGGCCAGCGTGGGCTACAAAACGAGATAACTATCCCAGGGAAAGAAAGACTAGAGACATGGTTCCATTGGTATATTAAACAAAACAAAACAAAACAAAAACACCTATATAGAGGACACACACACACACACACACACAGTGCATAATGTACACACCACACTAAATTCAGAGATAGGCATACATTTGTGAAATTAATACTGCCATCAAAGCTCCTCCTTTCTCTCACCTCCATTTTGATTATGAACATAATGATGATGATGATGTTTAGTGGTAAGGACATTTTATATAGGCCTACACTCTCAAACTGCTTCTATTTTAATGAGCACTAAAAACAGCTAGGTGTGGTGGCCCACACTAGCTACACGGGGGGGAGGGGCGGGGGACAGAGGCAGGAGAACAGTTGGAAGCCCACAGCTTGAGAATAGCCCTGCCAATATGCTGATACCCTGTCTCACAAAACACCGTAAGGGGCAGAGAGCGGGCTCAGCAGACAGGGTACTTAGCACCAAGGCTGACGCATGTGTGCTCCCCAGAACCCACACCGTGGAAGAAGAGAGCCAGCTCTCACAAGTCGTCCTCTGACCTCCAGACAAGTATCAAGGCATGTGCTCCCTTCCCTACACTCTAGATAAATAAAAAAAGATAAAGAGATTTTAAGACTAAAAATAACTGCCAAGTACTGGGAAAGCTACCATCCAGTGATAGACAAAAGTACATCTACCTTATCTTAGCGTCTGGTTACTTACAAACCACTGTAATGGGTTAACGTTGTCTTTCAGCTGATATAGTGGCTCACGTCTTTAATCTCAGGTGGATCTCTGTGAGTTCTAGGCCATCCTGGTTTACAGAGTAAGCTCTAGGCCAGTCAGGGCTACATAGAGAGAGCCTGTCTCAAAAACAAAAAACCCCAAACATTTAAAAATGAAAAATTTTCAACAAAAATTAAATGTTGCTGTGTGTGATGGATCATGTCTTTAATTCCAGAGTTTGGGAGGCAGATACAGGGGGGGTTTCTATAGAGTTCTGGGCTAGCCAGGACTATAGAAAGAAAAAAAAGGTCAACATTATACGCATCCTATAATTTCTTCTTTCTTTCACCTTCCATCAGTTTCATGTTTTAAAATTTTAGGCTAGATTTCGAGAAACTCTTTTTCTGGTTTTATTTTTAAGACAGAGTCTCATTCTATATCCCAGGAAATGCTCCTACCTCTACCTCCTAAGTACTGAAATTACTGGGATATGCCACCACAAATCACACCATTCAAAACTCTGGTCCTTCTTAATGATACATTGTCTTCTGGAAACTACGGCCAATGCTGGGCCCAGGCTGGACTTGGAGAGGTCGCTGGGAAAGCACAGGGTTGTCCAGTCCACAGCTGGTCCCCTCCGAGCACAGGTGCCGGGGGCTATCCTGCTTCCACTAGTTTAACACAGATGGCCCAGCACGGAGCAGGAAGGCTGTGAGGAATGATCCTCACCCTTCGTTCTGTGTGTGCGGTGCTCACCTGTGTGGGGTGGCACAGGTGGATTTGGGATGTCTACCGCTTTCCACCTGAAAGCGTTCCACCTTTTCTTTCTGAGAGAGCCACCCCTCAGTGAACCGTGAGTTCGCCATTTCAGCTAGACTGGATGGCCAGCAAAGCCTCTGGAGCCAGCTGCCTTTGCTCCCCCAGTGCTGAAGCCGCAGGTGGGCACAGCACATCTCACTTTTATATGGGGGCTGGGCTAAACTCAGGTCTTCGTGCCTCTGCAGCAAGACTTTTACCTGCTGGGCCATCTCTCCAGACCCCATTCTCTCTGTTTTCTTATTTTATTATTTTTGATAAGGTATTTTGTTAATAATACAGAAAAATGTGATTCAATCTGTCTTTGTAGGACTAGATAGCCTGACTGTTGGGGAATTGTGGTATCCTAGCCAGGTATCTGTTCAGTGGTGTGTGCTGGGGAGGTCCATGTTCATGTAGCTGTGCTGCACACATTGGGGAGAAATGTGGAAACAAGGATAACCTAGGGAGTCATTCTCAGGTGCCTTCCACCTTGTGGACTGCAGCTTTGTCAAGCAGGCTAGGTTAGCCACCGGTGGACGCCAGGGATCTGTTTCAGCCTCGTCTCACATGACTGGGATTAGAGGTGCTTCCCTCCACACCCAGCTTTTTACATGGATTCTGGAGATCCAAATTCAGGCCCTCACACTTACAAAGGCGAGTGCTTTACTAACTAGGATACCTCCCTAAACTGCACTATTCATCTTTTCTTTTGTTTTGCTTATTATTATTATCTATTTATTATTATTATTACTATTATTATTATTATCATCTCTGTGTGTGTGTGTGTGTGTGTGTGTGTGTGTCAAGTTTATGGAAGTCAGAGGACCTTTGTGGAGTCAATTTTCTCCTTCCATCTGTACCATACCCCCAGAACTTAGTACAATTGACTCCATAGTGGAAGTACCATTCAGGCCATTGACGGCATGTAGACACCATCACCAGCCAAACAAAGATGAAAACCTAGTCTCTAAATGTACCATCCTTGCTTTCTGACTTCTGCTTCTGGCTAACAGTTCTTATTAACAGACTATGTCAAGCAAGGATGTGTTTTTTTCCTTAATTTCCTTTTATATTTATTTAGCTTTAAAGCTCATCCTGGGGAAGACACTCAGGGCTATACTGAGATCCCTAACACCCAGTGTTATCAGCTGACTAGTAAAGACTATATTGGCTGAAACCCAATCGGAGTAGTCTTTTCTAGTGGATCCCCCAAAACATCTTCACACGGGTTCTGGGGACTGAACTCAATTTGTCACGCTTGCACAGAAGCACCTTTACTCAGTGAGCCATTCTTATTGGCTCCTTTTGTTCAGTTTGAGACAGGGCCTTCAACTATGTATCACAGGCTGGCCTTGAACTACAATCCTCCAGCTTTAACTTCCTCAGTGCCAGGTCTACAAGTCATCTAGTATGATCTTCACAGGTGCTATGCATGGCAAGGCCCCATATAATGTACAAAAAGCTGCATTACCAGACAGGCAGGTGCCCCATCTCCACCTTAGGCGACTGACCTACCTGTCTTGTCCATCATTGGTCCTGCTACCACAGTACCTAGCTCCTTCCTATTGATGAGTTTTTATCATGAGCTGAAGCAAGATGGGGACAACAGGAGGGACTGCCCAGATTTCTCTCTCTAACTCCTTGTCCACAGGGCTGCCCTGCCCACAGCTGCTCTATGCATGTGCTCATGTATAGCGAGGAGGTGCTGGAATTCCAGCCCTTACTGGTGTCTCCCTTTGCACCAGGCAGCTCCCCAAAGAGCTGATCTGCAGCTCAAAGAACACACTAAGTCATTTAGCAGTAGCATTCAGGCTGGACTGCTGAGTGTGTGAATTCTGTCCAAACACTGCAGATGTTTAAGCTATTTCCTCCCAGAGTTTGATGGAATAATAAAAGGTTACTGTTGTCACAGTAAGGAGGTCTGCAGCTGGTCCCATTTCCTTTTATTACTATCCAATGTAAACAGATTAAATCTAACTGCTCGGATCACCAGAAGGGTACATTTTTAAACCAGAAATTCCTGATCTCTTCTCTCTCCTCCTGTGCCCTCAGTCCCTTGCTTTTTTTAATCACTGGGAATATCTTGGCAACGAAGCACTCAGGTCCTTTCAAGAAGTGCATGCTGCTTTTCAAGTTCATACTCCCTTCCCGGCAGCTAGGCACAAACTGCGGCAGGGAGCAGCCCTGGGGTCAGCTGCCTACTGGCTGTAGCAAGGAGATGGCTAGAGTAACTCAGGACAGGTAGGGGCTCCCCCACTTTGGCGAGCTCCCCAATGCTGTGAAGTCACTTACCTGCACCCCGGGAGCTCCTGTTCTTCCAATACACAAAACTCCAGAAGCCAGCTGGCTGCTGGGAGGAGACCTGAGACTCCAGCCAGCCAGCCAGAGGTGAGAGTGGCATGTGGGGGCATTGGGCACTGTATGAGTGTTACTACCAAGAAAGAGCAGCCTTGAATTGTGGGGACATCATCCAGATCAGGGATGTTTTTTTTTTAATACATGTAAAACTTCAGGTTTAAAACAAGCTTGTTCTGGAAGTCCACATACAAAGTGACTCAGAATGGCGCTGCTCTGGCTACAGGGACCTTGGTCCCTTTCTCTCCTAACTCCTTATGTCTGATGAGCCATCAAAGAATACGATCATGAAAGTCACCATGCAGACAGCAGGGAGGCTGAGAACCTAAAACCTATCTGAGGCCACATGGCTATGAGCAGCAGATACAGGTCAAGCATTTTCCTTACCACAGAGCTCTGCTTTTATACCTGCTTGTCTTTAGATCCAGAGGTCTTGGTCTTAGCACAATCACCTCAAGCTTTCATGAAGAAGAAAAAGCTCCAGGACAAAATGAAATCATATTTTACCTACAAAGCTGTGCAAAGGTGTGAAGAGACTCTGCTGATTCAGTGTAATGACACCCAGAGGTGAGGAGCTACCACAGAGCACCCGAGTGCTTAAACTGCATGGTTCTAAACATGATAAAGGCAGCTGGCAGGATGGGGGAGACAGGAGGGCCCCATACAAAGCATGGCTACTCAAGGCACGCTTCTATTGAGCAGATGCCTGGGGGAGGGGGGTTTCTCTCTTTCTTTCTTTATTTTTTTGGTTTTTCAAGACAGGGTTTCTCTGTATAGCTTTGCGCCTTTCCTGGAACTCACTCTGTAGCCTAGGCTGGCCTCGAACTCACAGAGATCCGTTGTGGGGAATTTACAGGAAGAATGAGGCCCCTCCAACTGAGACCCTGTTCCCACACTGAGAACTGCTCTGGGGTCATAAGCAGTAGTCCCCTCTGTGCTGCTCAGTGATTCAGGGGCTTTAAGTAGACGCACAGCAACCCTCCAGTTCTGCCCATAAACTTAATTTCTGTGGCCTCCACTTTTTAATAAGACATGAAGTGTGTGCATGTTGGGGGTCGGTGTGGGCTAGGAAAGGAATTCCAGCTTCTATCTGCTAGACCGGGCTGCTAGTCCCGGGCCTCCACTTCCAAACTCAGCCCTGAGCAAGCTGCTGAGCCTCTCAGAGCTATTCTGATCGCCTGTGAAACCAGAGGGAGGCACTGTAAAAGCCAATGAAAGAAAGGTGTCAGGATTTTGAAATTGTGAAGTGCCTTAAATGTGAGGTATCTGTGTTGTTACAAACACAATGGGGCAGACACGTTTTATGGCCTTGGGAATTCTGCTGTGACTCCTGTCAGAATTCACACTACCTTGCCACACTAGGAACACAGGCTAGCTGCACAGTGTGTGGCTGGGGGTGGCCTCAGGCTGGTGTCCGGCCACCTCCCTTTGGCTGTGTCTGGAGAGAAACAATGTCACCAAATAATCCTCTAGCAGCGAGTGGAGAAAAGTCAAACAAGGAGCACTAATCCCGAAAGGAAATGGCTGACTTGCCGCTCTAACCTCTCCTGACGTGAAACGGCAATGAGACAAAAACACCATTCTGCAGGAGGAAGGGAGAGGAAATTTCAAGCTGGACAGAAAGTGCTGAAGGAAATTAAAACTGCTAGTGTGCTCTGAAAAGAACTCTCCAAAGATGCCACTGGTTACCCTGACACTTCCAAGGCCTCCCTGGTGGCTTCCATGTTGGCTTGCTCTGTGTGGAGGCCTCTCCCTGGCCGAGACACCTCTAACCCCACAGTGTCTCACATCATCATGGTGTTGGACGGAGGAAGGAAAGCGTCCTGGCAGACCCAGATGCTGAACAAGGCAGAGCTGTATTGGGCAGCTCTGCCACGTGGGCTGAAGAGGAGAGCCGTGGGGCCAAATGCTGAGGGGAGGCTCTTCTGCAACAGATTAGGGGCAGGAAAACTGCTCTTCGTTACCTGACCAGGCCCTCATGCAACCACCAGAGTGATCTCTGAGGTCGTCCCTACCCAAAGACCCTGTGTGAAGTGGGCCAGCTCACTTTCAGAAAGGTGCACGAGTAAGTCGGTTACACACTACAGCACAAGCAGACTCACTTGCTCTAACTCGCCTTTCTCCAGCGCCAGCTCCTCCATCTCGGGTGTTGTCTCGTCTTCCAGGAAGGGATTGGTAGATGGCGGTGGGGACTCCAGCTTTTTCTATTAAGACATGAGAAAGAGGTTATTTTCTGAGCATGAGCCTTGCCAATGACCTACTTTATCCAACTCTTCCTAACAGCTGGATCACTGGATCTGTCCTCATAACAAGAATAGAGGCATGGGGATCACATTCTCACCCGCATGTCTTCTTATTCCTCTTGTACTTTCTTCAACCTGCACTGCCCACCCTACTCCAATTCTTCTTTTAAGACAGGGTCTCTCTATACAGCCCTGGCTGTCCTAGAACTCACTATGCAGACCAGGTACCTCTACTCCAATTCTAATCTGGCTAAAACTCTCACTCATTCTTTACTCTTCACTTCAAAGGTCCCTTCTGGGAAGCATTCCTCCTCATCTGCCAAGTTTGGGCTACATGTCCCTGCAATGTGCATATCCTTCATGGGTACTTATGAGGCTGGGCACAGTTGCCTGTGCTATAACCCTAATGTTATAAGGTAGAGACAGGTGGATCATAGGAGCTTGCTGGCTAGCCTAGATAAGAAAGTGAGTGATCCTTTCTCAAGGGAGTAAGACTTAGAATTCCAACATCCTCCTCTGGCCTCCATATGTAAGTACACACACATCTGCACACACACATCTGTGTGTACACATACACACACACATACACACACGAGAGAGGGGGGGGGAATCAGACACTTTGGTGGCTAGAATCATGTATGTATTAGTCTTCATTGTATTTTTGGTGACTTTCATGTAAATACGTGCTCAATAAATATGGATGAATTCAAATGGCAGATGGGTTTGAATTCAAGAACTAAAGAGCTAACCTCACATGTTGTAGATTAAAGCCAGAAGTCCATTCCCAAGTCAAATCCCATTATAATGATCACAACAGAAATTTCCTTGCGAAAAACTTTCTCAGCTCTGGAATGAGATAACTGCTTGAAAATACATCAATAAGGGGGACCACAGGCTACTGGGAAAGCTGGGGGCAGGAGATGTAGGTTTTAGCTCCAAACCATCCAGCTTCTCTGAGCTGTAGGAGCTTTATCTGCCGAGTGTGGCTATAGTCACAGGAATGCTCTAAGGATCAAGTGTAATAAATGTGTGAAAGCCACGCAGAAGCACATGAGTATGGGCTCACTGACTAATCCCAGGTACAGAATCCACACAAATCTTAGGAACATTTATGATTTTTGAACAGAGATGTCTTTTATGCTTGGGTGCTGAGAGTTTCAGTAGAAAGGAACCTTGAACAACAAGCAGGGACACCAGGGTTTGGTTGGTGGTGTGGCTAGGGATGGATCCTGGAGACAAGAAGTTAAGAAGAAAGGGGGTTTCCAAATGTATTTGTGACATTTTAGCATCTACCAGTAGTGAAAGCTGGTGTAATCGCTAAAACCAAGAGAAGGGCCACAGTTGGATGATAGTGTGAATGGCTGCCAAGTGCCCACATCATCCAAAGGTATTACAGACAAGAACCAAAAGTGAACTTAAACAAAAAACAAACCCCCTGAGGTATCTGCTATGAGCTTTAAGATAATTCTGTTTACACATATTTAAACCGCTAAATTCTTATCCGAAACACTTGGGTACTGTTTTGTAGTCAGACAATGGCTTCTATACATGAAGAAAGCCTTGTGATTGTGATAACTGTGTTAGCTTAAGGTAATCATTACTAAGACAATGGTTTTTGCAGAAAACTGTTGAGAAACAGTGCAGTCGAATGACCAGGCAAGCATTTCAGATCTGCATGCATGCACCCTTTGCATGCTAGCCTCTTGGCCTGCTGTGGTTCATTTGTGTGTGTGTGTGTGTGTGTGTGTGTGTGGTATTTATACAATATGTGGGTAATGTACACATTTATAGAGATTTTTAAAAGCCTGTGCTCCTAAGCTTTAGTTGTCTTTTTAAGAGTTGCTGGTATTTGGCCAGGCATGGTGGTACATGCTTATAATCACAATACCAAAAGTAGCAGGATCTCAGGATCTCAAGTTCAAGGCCAGTCTAGGATACATAGTGTGTTAGTGAATTCCAGTTAGAATCCAGTCTGGGCTATCCTATGAGTTCTAGGACAGCCTGGCAACTTAGTAAGACCCTGTCTAAAAACAAACAGCACTGCTGATATTTTAGGGGGAAAGGAATAGTGGAAAAGAGCACTTACCAGGTCTAAACTTCAACAATTAGATTAGTTAAGCTAGGCATGCTAGTGGGTACCTGAAGTCCCAGCTTTTTGGAAAAGTGAGGCAGGAGGATCTCTTGAGCTAGGGAATTTGAAACCAGACTGGACAATACAAGAAGAGTTCATGTCAACAAAACAAACCACAGATCCCTAGCTGGAGATATAGCTCAGGGTTGGAGTTCTTGCCTAGCCACAGTTAGATGGTGAGTTCAAGGCAAGCTTGGGTTACCTGAGATCCTGCATCAAAAAATTAAATACATAAAACAAGTGAAAAATCAAATTAGTTAGAAGCCTTACATTCACTTACTAGCAGGTTTAGGGCCATACTTCTGAGGAGAGCTGCTATGCCCGAGTCTCCTGGTGCCAAGAGGATGTGGAAAGCAGGTCCCTCAGCTGAAATTAAAGCCTTGCTCTGAACCATTCCATGACAGAAACAGGATCTGAACTTTTATGGTAAGTGTTCTTTATCTACTACATCTTGACTTTTATACAGCTGGGCTTCACTTTTAAAGCACAATGGGATATTTATTAGATAAATGAAACAAACAAAACACCCAGAATCAATGAAATGGACTGAGAATGTTCCTGAACTCCATGCCCCACTAGAGAAAGTGTCAAATGAATGAGTAAAAGTAAAGAGGACAATATGAAAGGCTCTATTGAACTCAGAGCAGCATAAGGTGGGGTCCTTGGACTAGAAGTCCCGAGTTCCCTTCTTCCATGCACATGCTGATGAAATCACAGACCAGAAGCCCCTAGCATACTCTCGGGGCATGCACATTCCAAGTGTGGACTGCATTCCTCCCTTCATCCACTCAGCAAATGGATGTACTGGGTACCTGGGAAAGCAACGAGTAATGCAGACTTGTTCTGCCCTCCATCTGCTGAGAAGTAGGCTTTAATCAACCACAGAAGCATGTCATAATGGCCTTGAAAAGGTAGTTGTTATGAAGACATGCAACAGAGAGTCAAAACTAAATTCTGGAGATAGAATCGAGGGCTGTTTTGGAGCTATCTGAGGGTCAGAATTGTGGGGTGGAGCTATTTCTGTACTTGAGCAGCAGCATCCACTGTGCATGCAATGGACATTAATTATGTGGTCTGCACCCTAGTCCAGACTCCCTGACCTGCACTGGTGATGCAGAATGAATAAGACAAGGAAGAGAGGCACTGTGAGAGGGAAATGAGGATCAAGCAGGCTGGGACAGGGAAGAGCAGGAGATGTAAATAAGAAGGCACTAACAACAGTCTTGGGGGAGTCTGCAGGGTAGATGGGCAGAGGTGTGAGGTACAGAGCAGAGGGTCAATCAAGTGCCTTTTGTAAGCATGGTAAGATTTCCCTCTCATCACAAGAAAGTGGCACTGAGGGTTTTTAAACATGGAAGTAACAGATACTAATTTGCTGTGGAATAATCCATCTGTACACTGTGAAAATATATTGTTCTCATTGTTAATAAAAAGCTGATTGGTTCACAGCTAGGCACAATTTTCAGGGCAGAGAGAATGCTGGGAAGAGGAAGAGTGGGGTCTCAGAGTCACAAGGGGTGCAGAGAGAAGCAAGATGAAGGTGCTGTGTTGAAAGAAGGTACTGCCACATGGCAGAAGAGATATAAGAAATGTGGCTTAACTTCAAATATAAGAGTTAGCTAATAACAAGCCTGAGCTATTGGCCAAGCATTTATAATTAATATTAAGTCTCTGAGTGGTTATTTAGGAGCAGCTGCCAGGATACAGAAAAATTCCACCTACAAATGGTGCCCAAATGTCTGGCACCTACATCCACATAAAACCTGAGAAAGCTTAAAAAAGGTTTTTAAACACACAACAACAGAGCCAAATGTAGCTTCCTAGTCTTGTGTCTCTTATGCCAGCCTTAGTGTCCGGCATCTTCCGGCAGCTGCCAGCATGCCATGAGCTAAGCTGCATGGCAGATTCCTACAGTCTCTCACACAGGTTGTGGCACAAAGAGGCATCTCCCAGCTCCTGCCTGTGGGCTTGAGCTGCCAGCTTGAGCTCCGCCAGTACAGTTCATGGCAGGTTTGGGGTTTTGCTCATGCAGACAGAAGAGGTTACAGATGCTCAGTAAAGACAGATCCTGATGGAGAAAAAAAAAAAAAACACCTCTAAACAGGTTACAATGTGTTTAAAAATGTACAAAGGTTTGAGAGAGAAAAGAAAAGGGATATAGACAGTCATATATATATATATATATATATATATATATGTTTTAAAATAATAAAGTCCTTAAAAAGGGAATAAAATAAATTTTAAAAAGCCACATAAAGATGGGAAATACACAGAGTCTAGATCCTGTATGTTATTGTGTATTCTTTAAATTTTTTGACTGATAATGAATGAGCAATAACTACTAAGAAACATTAGATTATGGAAACTGATAAACTAAACCAAACTATATATTTTAAAAATATCTTGACTTAAAAATGGAAGTCAAAATGTATGTTGCTTTGGGAGAGAGGTTATGCTTTTATTTCCACAGGAAATGAGAGGCTGTGGATTCATTGCAGGTTGATATGGACCAGGTTTGATTAGGGAAGACCCCCTGAAAACCCTGACTATGAACATAAAGAAATAAACCTAGAAAAAACTATAAAACATGCAATGTATATTTTACCTGCTCAAACATAAAACAAAAAATCATCTTGGGTTAACTTATGTACAATGCACTGTCTATACTTGTATTAATACAGATATGTATGTTACCATTAAAAGTTTATATATTTTCAGAGCAAAGGGACCAGACACCAATGAAAATGAATGGCCCAGGTGAACTAGCATCTCAAAATACCTCTGTTACAGTCTTCTCAAAATTCTGCATTCAAAACAGCTTCAAGGTTGA